ATTTATCTGTGATCAAAAAGATGAATATGTTATTGTTATTGAGTTATAGATCATATATAATATTAAACCACAAATCTAAACATTTTTTTTCACATGAATGCTAATAGAGTTTGATTTTGTTTTACCAGTTGGTGATTGATTAAATTTGTTGACATCCATGTGAATGAAATGGTCAATCTCCAATCTTTCTGCTTGGTCAATGTCATGTAAACATGACTAATTATGTAAACATAATTTCTTAAGTGAGTCTCAATCCGTGTGCTAAAAGGGCAATTAGCCACGACACAGCCGGAAACATGCATAACAAGGCCCCAGTTCTATGTCCTGCAATGGCTATGAGACTCTATTGGTGGATTTCTCTTTCTAATTTGCATGTAAATGTGAACCTAATGAGCCTATGTCATTTAAATCATGACGCGTTAAAAATACTTAACAAATTCTCGGCTCATTTATTTTAGAGATTATGTTATGAATAAGTCGTATATAATTATTTATAGTTGAGTTCATCTTGTGTATAAATCGAGATTATGTTGACCCATTAATTAAATATTCCTGACGGGTCAACCAGTTTATGACTGGAATCGTTTAACTTTAAGACCACATTGTGACAAATTCAAATCAGATTTGAATATGGTGTTAAAAATTGTCAAACCATGTTAACTGTTGAGCAAAAACGAAAAAAAAAATCTTAACAACCCCTGAATCATGAAAATGACCTCACCCATGAAAGTAACATCCTTGAAGTTTTTTCTAATATGCATCTTTCATTGACTTATTGTATGGGCGTTTTCGATCAGACAATGCCCATCAAACCTGAACTTCAATGCTTTTGTTGCTTGATTTCAAACTAGCTCAACTAACTGTACTTGATCCATCAAAAAATTGTCATCCTTCTGTTTGCTCATGTAGATTGTCGTTGTATCTGATACATAATACTCTCATTTGTACAAGTGTGTGGAAGAGTTCAGTGATAAATCTGATTTATCAAGAGATTGATCTCAAACTTAAAGAGTTAAGACCCACGACATAACAATTAAATAGATGGACTCTTGCTATCGCCCAAATTCGGACGCTTGTGGGCCCCATTCACCTGCTTTCTTAATTCTGGATCTCCAATGGGGTCTGGTTAACTTGCTTATGGCATGACAGTGAGATGGGTGCAGTTAAGATGCCATTTTAATGGCAGGCACACAGCATGCATGGTAGGTGCACTTCTTGGAAAGTAGGCTCATTAGTCATTAGGAAAATCTTTTGATTGCTTTGTTCAGGTCATACTTACCATCATGAATCTACTTTAATCTAAAAGCAAGAGGCAATAACTTAGAATCATAACTAGAGTTGTATTATAATAGATCATCTTCTCAATCATGACCATAGTTCCACAACATCACAATCTTCAGACATACACAAAGTGTAACAAAAGATCAAAAAGACAGTCGAGTGTACGAGACTTCAACGGGGATTCGTGGAGAGTCAGATGCACACAGTTTTACCCCACATGTGGAGAGACTATTTCTGCGACTTCAATCTTTGACGCCAGATCATAGTAGAAGGACCTTACCATTGGTCCACCCTCCACAAAAGCACAAGCATAATCTAATGGGGAAAAAAAAAGAAGAAAGGATGGAAGCTGTATTCATATAAAATTCCCCTGTTTTGGAGAATTCAAATCCCCCATTTCATATTCTAAGGGGGAATTAGACTAGCCACTGAAGAAAAAAGGTCGAAGTCATCAAACATAAAGCAAAAAAGGCTCTGATTATGCCCTCTTTTTCTCTCTCCTAATTGGTTAGGACTCTCAAGTTCTAAGGCAAAACTACTATACAAATTCAAAGAGGTGCATTATAACCCTCCACTGCATGCTGATTACTTTTCAATTTTCATGCTTAACAGAATGAAAAGGATGGGTCTACTAGCTAATTATGGGGATTTCACTAGATGTTGGTCAATGATGATTGGTGAACCACCTTTTGATACTTAGTATTAGGAGATAAATCAGAGACTTCAGCACTGTTCACCACACCCCTCTTCTTGCTGAAACAACCACCTGTACTGGCACAAGAGTCCTGGTGGAGAAGCCTTGGCGTTGGAGAAGAAATGGTCACTGGTGGGATCTCAATGGTGTTGAGTTGGGGAGGTGGGTGCTGCCACTGAGGCAGTGGTCCAGCCAGGAGTAGTGTTTGGAGGAGCGGCCCGGCCTCCATCACCGCCTGCAGGAACTTCCCTTGTTCTGGCAACGGCTTTTTCAAATCCAATTTATTGGTCACTTCTGGTGGCGGCAGTGGTAATGTTGGTGGTGGAATTGGGTACTTACTGGACGATTCAGTGATGTTTTCATCACAATCTGAAGAAGAAAATCCAGTGTTGGATTCACCCCCTCTCGGTTCATCTTCACTGCTAGTAGTCCCGGTTAACCGAGCAATTTCTGGGGGATGCTGAAACTGTTGTTGCAATTGCTGTTGGAGTAGGAGTCTCTCCAGCATTAGCCTTTGGCATTTTGCTTGGAATTCATCTCTCTCTCCGATGGTCTTTGTCAAGAGACCTTTGAAATGCTGGAGTTCATCATCTTTTCTAGCAAGTTCCTCTTGAGCAGAGAGAATTGTAGTCTCAAGCTCTAACGTTGTGTAAAACAAACTGTGCTTCAACTCCTCAATTCCCTGGCAAACAACATAAAGCACATTACCAAAAAAAAAAACCTCAACACTGAACAAGAAACAAGGATCAAAATTCCGTCTCGTGTCCACCGAAACTAGCCAGATATTACAATTTAAATGGAAATCGAAGCAAATCAGAGATGAAAAATTGAAATACACATGCTTCATAATATTTCGGTTGATGTTTCAGAATCAACATTACAAAACTTTCTTTGTTTCCAAACGTAAAAAGGTATCCGTAAGGAGATTCTTACCTCTTCCTGGAAGTAGTAAGGCCAGCNCTAGCCAGATATTACAATTTAAATGGAAATCGAAGCAAATCAGAGATGAAAATTTGAAATGCACATGCTTCATAATATTTCGGTTGATGTTTCAGAATCAACATTACAAAACTTTCTTTGTTTCCAAAACATTTTGGAAACATTTTTGTTTCCGAGCAAACTGAAATTATGTACTGAAACAAAAACGTTGATCTTTGTGAAGAAGCATTTTAAGTAAAAAGGTATCCGTAAGGAGATTCTTACCTCTTCCTGGAAGTAGTAAGGCCAGCTAAGAGGACTGTCTTGATCTTCCATTTTCTCCCTAAGTCTGAGCCAAATCAGAACATAGAGAGATGCCCAAGTGGTTACTTTACCTCTTATAAGGTTTAAGTGGTTGCTTTTTCTCCNGCTAAGAGGACTGTCTTGATCTTCCATTTTCTCCCTAAGTCTGAGCCAAATCAGAACATAGAGAGATGCCCAAGTGGTTACTTTACCTCTTATAAGGTTTAAGTGGTTGCTTTTTCTCCTTTTTTAATTAAGGGGCATATGGTTGGACAAAAACACAAAAAGACAAAAGCATGGAAAGGCCAAAGGTGTTAGGGTATATCTTTATAGATTCTTAGGATAGGAGGACCTTATACTTTGAAGGAGGGAATGTGAATAAGTGGCTTAAAGTTGGGAGCCAAATCCCCTTCATATGGTACCTACCTATCAATCTATGACATAGTAACCGCATATGGTACGTGTGAAAAAAAAAAAAAAAAAAATGGTACGTGTGCACGCACACACACATACGTGAAAATGTAAAAACATTTTCACACTGCATTTGAATTAGGATTATGATTCTTTTTGGTAATAAGTTGCTTCGATTCTAGATTATCCACCGTTTAATACTGCGAGTACACTTTTTCATTATTGAATGCCCAATTGATGTATTTTTCCCGTGTAAAAGTTTTTTTTTAGGTGAGTTTATAAATTATGTGACACATATACAATTTATCTACTTCTCTTGGTAGTGGCGAAACCACGTTAAGACTTGAAAACCATTGTGTAACAGGTATGAAGCCTAACTTTGTCATTAATGGCGGATCCACGTTAAGAACTAGGGGCCATGATCCCCAGGTTTCTAAAATTATTAGTTTGTCAATTGATTTTCATCAAACATCTCAAAAAGTTATTATGCTGGCTACCTAAGGAATTAATATATTTGATTTGACCCCTTTTATTTGCCCATTATAGTTTTCTTCCTCTCTCAAATGCCCTTCACTTTGAAATTTTCGACTACATCCCAAGTGAAAAAATAGTTGTACACGATATACAAAACTCCCACCTATAGTAAGATGAGATCGGAATGACATAAGTGACAAGCAATTTATCCTATTTTTTTAAGGTTGATTTTATGCTCAAAGTCGAGACATATCTACTGATTGTATGAGTACTTGTTATCATTCCATATTTGACCTCTATTGTGCCCCTGCATGACGCCTTTAGTCGGTGATATAAAACATTGCAGCAAGCGTGTACTAAAGAAGAGCATGCATCCAAAAAAGCTTAGTTTGCAAATGTTGAAAAATGTTGAAAGCTGGACAAGTCCTAATTTCTGTCTACAAATGCTGTCCTAGAGTTCACACCTCTCATATTTTCAGAGCTTGAGCCCAAATTTTTTGATTGAGCTGGGACTTGGTGAATAGGGTAAACCTACTAATAAGCCATGCTATTTCTGTTAGAGATGAAAGAGACTTTACAATGTCGTATCTAGTACAGAATACTTTCATTTATGATAGAATATGTACGTAAATGATCGACAATTTACCTCAATTATGCGAGGCTGATTTTCGGGCTCGAACACACGACTTGGATTAGATTGTCTCGGTGCAATTTGTTGGTCAGATGAAAAGATAAAGCACAGTATGGTATAATGATTAAAGACATTTGATCTAAGACTTTTTTGGTTAGAGGGTATATGCTTAGTTTTTTTTCCTTTTTGACTAACAGAAAGGAAAATGGAATGGATTAGGAAACCGCATACTGTAATTTTCCTAGGAAACTATAAAGCAAGGGACCTCACATGGTACTGAAGTACTTGTTCTTTTATCTTTGTATACATTGCATACTTTTGTGAAACGATAGAAGCTGCAATTTTATTGGTTTAGTTAAAGTGCGGATTATTAACCGTTAAACCAGGATGTTGAGTTTCAACAATGGGTGAAATATAGTGATAGTCTCTCTAGTATGCACATTGTGCCACTTTGGTTCCCTTATCTTCGAATTTTGTTAGTTTAGTCTTTTAAAATTTTGATTTGTGTCCTTTTAGTCCAATAAAAAAAGGATGGTTTAAAGGGAGATATTCACATGCGTCTCACATGACTACACTTCAAGGATCACTTTGGTCCCTCAAGTTTGCAATGTGTGTTATTTTAATTTTTCATGTTTACAATTTGTATCCATCCCTTATTTTTCCAAAAAAAAAACACCTATAATCACTTGCTATCTTTACTCTTCAATTTTCTATTGAGGTCTATTCTATAGAGGTACTCAAATAAGACCAGTGATAGATTTTTAGGTTTCTTTGTAAACGTAATTGGTTATTTTCAATTACATAAATCAATAATTCAAACTGCACTCAACGATATGACATTTCCTATTTTTATAGGAACTTTTGTACCAGAAACAATGATATTTTCAATTATAGCCCAATATAAAATATATCCTTTCTCACGCTTATGACCTCCCCCTCTATGTCTTGCGGTTACAAGAGATGCATGTGACGATCTCCAAAATTAAATTTAAGTCTCTGTTTTTGCTTGGACTAAAGTAACGTAAATTGATTATCCGAGAGATCAATATTGGTGGAATTGGAATATTGTGAAACAAATTGACACAAAGTTCATAATTTGAGGTCCAAAAATAATTTTTTCCTTAAAACAATTATTTACTGTAAAATCATAAATATGTGTGCAACTAAGTTGAACTGAGCCTAGTTTTGTTTGTTCAAACTAAGAGCTCCAAATAACTTTTAAGTCCGTCTGACATAGTCAATCTTGATCTATTTTTTGTCGAATCAATCTTAAATTGAGCTTGGGTAACTTAACTTTTCATATAATATTTGGGTATTAATTTGTTTATTGAGGTAAATTCAAGCTATATGCTAGAGAAATCTTCGTCTTCAAACTTAAAAAAACATGTCAGTGATGATTTATTTACTGAAATGTCTAAGAAGGATTAGTTGTATACGATCTCACCTTTGTATGTAGAAGGCCTGTTTTTATACTCAAACCTCTAATGTTCATATTACAATAAAATAATCTTACCGCTATGTTAAGACCCACGTTAATAAATATGATTTGTTATTTATAAAGACTTTGTTCATTTATTACGCAATCCGATCTCTAATGATCTTTTAACAACTTGATCTTGAATTGAATCCAAATAATTGGGTTTGTTACCCTACATGACAAAAAAATAGTAGTTTTATGCATGTAGGATAATGCTACAAACTCTAAAAAAATTTGTAATGGATAGTGAATTGGTCAGAGAAGGGAGGGAGATTAAAGCTTTTTTGGCGGGGCAAGATAATGGTAGGGTCGTGATGGACAGCTTTTAGCCAACAAAGTGCTACTCAAGGGGAAAGAATAACGGCTTCCGTTTTGACCAGTGTTTAGAGCTCACTGTTCTAACAGGGGATTGCCGTACCACGCGTTGGCGTGTTGATCCAGTCACATCTTGGTATTGTAATGGGGCCCTATCAACTACTGTCAAGTGAAACCATTGGCCCTTTACCAACCTATAGTGTGTGGAGCCCTCTTCCCAACCATTTTTGAATGAATAAATGAATAATAATATAAAATACTCTATAATTGAAAAGGCAAAGGGACACTAGAGTTATAGTTAAGAGAGTTAAAATGTAATTTGTCTCTGACAACTTGAATAGGTTTTATATTGTTCAATAAAATACACGGTTTCGATGTCTAACATCGGAGCAATGTAAAACCATCAAATACAGTTTGAGACATATTGTAAAAAATATGATAGTTGAAGTAGTATGAGAAATGCGATAATTGAGGAGGCAATGCAAGACCAATAGTCATTGGTTAGAGGCACAAAATAAGAAACGTAATAGTTTAAAGGACAATGTGAGATAAGGTCATAGTTAAGGGGTTAAAATATAATTAGGACAATGTAAGATAAGGACATAGTTAAGGGGTTAAACTATAATTTATCTTATCACGTATATTTTGTCAAGCACAATCTACCTACTCCACACTCCATATTTAAGTCAAACTTAACATGCTAAACACATATATGATCGATTCATATTTGTGTAGAGTTCGTTTTCATGTATACGTGGTATTGAATTGTCACAGGGTAATTTTTGTTTTTTTTTTTAGGCTACCTGTGAAGGCGTTGATATTACAACCAGTCACACTCAACTCAAGAATAAAGGACAGAAACTCACACAGAAGGCACACACGAATCTACTGGGACAACACTCTCAAACCTTATATATTGAACTCAACAATTTATAAGGACTCTCAAAAGCCAGAACACTCTCTCCCTTCCAGAATGTTCAAGCACCTGTATTTATACAAGAGGAAGGCAGATGGCACCCCCATCTGCCAAGGGGTAGTTACCCACTTTTTTGCTATTCCATAACATACTGGACTAGTAGACTTGGTCTCTGTGCAACATCTGGCAGGCAGTTCCACCACTTCAAGTAACTGTTGTGGAACTGTCCCTTCATCAGCATGCATCTAGACTGGATTCAGACTGGGGACATCCAGAACTGCCTCAACAACTGCCTTGATTGAGTCTCAAGATCATAACTGCCCACATCCTCTTAGTCACATGTATTGAGCAGTCATGTGTCAATCAGGTGCCCACATTCAGCAGTCATGTGCCCACATTCACCAGTCAACCTTGCTACACGAACCAATGTGCATGTTGGGTTCAACCCATGCCATGCAATCCGAAGCTCTGCACCCACATTGCTTCAATTGAGTCCACCCATGCTGTCATGCTCAACCGGGTGGTCTCATGCTGCCTTGGTTCGTCCCAATCTGTTGAACCACTTAGCCGCGTCACCTTGATTCCAATTTCTGGCATGCCTTGGTGCAAGGTACCACAAAGACCGGTCATTTGCATCCAAGTCAATTAGGGTGTGACATGAATGGTGTTTTTGTCATGCCATTTAGTTTAAGCATGTCTAGTCGTCCACTCATTTAAATCCAAACCTATTAAGATTGCATCTAAATTTATTTATTTTGTGTGAATTTTATGTCATATTCAACAATCATAGTGAGAACTATTAGGCCTAAACAGAGACAAAAATTTTAAAAAAAAGAAAGAGTCAGAACGGGTCTAATAAAGATTTTTCTCCACTTGAATAATACTTGTGTGTTGGACCTCGTCACACTTCTCAATTTACAATTAAATAC